CTCTGGGGTTCTCCACCCTTTACTGAATGTGATCCTTTCCCCAGGCTAGGCACGCCCCCTCTATGGTCGCCATCTTGGCTCCTACTGCGCATGCCTCATAGTAGAACCTCCTCTTCCTATGCCATCTTGGCTCCTACTGCGCATGCCTCAGAGACCCTCCTCTTCCTATGCCATCTTGGCTCCTACTGCGCATGCCTCATAGAACCTCCTCTTCCTGTGCCATCTTGGCTCCTACATGCCACATAGTAGAACCTGCTCTTCCTGTGGCATCTTGGCTCCTATCGCGCATGCCTCATAGAACCTCCTCTTCCTGTGCCATCTTGGCTCCTACTGCGCATGCCTCAGAGACCCTCCTCTTCCTCTGCCATCTTGGGTCCTACTGCGCATGCCTCAGAGACCCTCCTCTTCCGGTGCCCTCTTGGCGCCTACTGCACATGCCTCATAGTAGAAACTCCTCTGCCTGTGCCATCTTGGCTTCCACTGCACATGACTCATAGAACCTCCTCTTCCTATGCCATCTTGGCTCCTACTGCGCATGCCTCATACTAGAACCGCCTCCCCCTGTGCCCTCTTGGCTCCTACTGCGCATGCCTCATAGAACCTCCTCTTCCTGTGCCATCTTGGCTCCTACTGCGCATGCCTCATAGTAGAACCTCCTCTTCCTGTGCCATCTTGGCTCCTACTGCGCATGCCTCAGAGACCCTCCTCTTCCACTGCCCTCTAGGCTCCTACTGCGCATGCCTCATAGTAGAACCGCCTCCCCCTGTGCCATCTTGGCTCCTTCTGTGCATGCCTCATAGTAGAACCTCCTCTTCCTGTGCCATCTTGGCTTCTCCTGGGCATGCCTCATAGTAGAACCACCTCTTTCTGTGCCATCTTGGCTCCGACTGCGCATGCCTCAGAGACCCTCCTCTTCCCGTGTCATCTTGGCTACTACTGCCCATGCCTCATAGTAGAACCGCCACCCCCTGTGCCATCTTGGCTCTTACTGCGCATGCCTCATAGTAGAACCTCCTCTTCCTGTGCCATCTTGGCTACTATTGCGCATGCCTCAGAGACCCTCCTCTTCCGGTGTCTTATGGCTCCTACTGCGCATGCCTCAGAGACCTTCCTCTTCCGGTGCCATCTTGGCTCCTATTGCGCATGCCTCAGAGACCCTCCTCTTCCTGTGCCATCTTGGCACCTACTGCGCATGCCTCATAGTAGAACCGCCTCCCCCTGTGCCATCTTGCCTCCTTCTGTGCATGCCTCATAGAACCTCCTCTTCCTGTGCCATCTTGGCTCCTACTGCACATGCCTCATAGTAGAACCACCTCCCTCTATTCCATCTTAGCTTCTCCTGGGCATGCCTCATAGTAGAACCTCCTCTTCCTGTGCCATCTTGGCTCCTACTGCGCATGCCTCAGAGACCCTCCTCTTCCTGTGCCATCTTGGCCCCCACTGCGCATGCCTCATAGTAGAACCGCCACCCCCTGTGCCATCTTGACTCCTACTGCGCATGCCTCAGAGACCCTCCTCTTCCTGTGCCATCTTGGCTACTATTGCGCATGCCTCATAGTAGAACCACCTCCCCGTTCCATCTTAGCTTCTCCTGGGCATGCCTCATAGTAGAACCACCTCTTCCTGTGCCATCTTGGTTCCTACTGCGCATGCCTCAGAGACCCTCCTCTTCCTGTGCCATCTTGGCTACTATTGCGCATGCCTCATAGTAGAACCTCCTCTTCCTGTGCCATCTTGGCTTTTACTGCGCATGCCTCATAGTAGAACAGCCTCTCCCTGTGCCATCTTGGCTTCTGCTGGGCATGTGCCAGCAGAGTAACTTCCTCTTTATTGTTTTTACTTGTCCCTCGGTTACCCTGGCTAGTGGAGGGTAACGATCCTTCCTGCAGGCGTCCCGATTAGGTCCCGAGGGTGGGGAATGCAGCGGGCCCCTGGAGAGCCTGTGAACACTGCAAGTTCTTGGTGAAGCAGGTTTATTGTCAGCTCCGTAGATAATGAGGCTTAATGTTCAATTCTCTTTGCTCCTTTTCCTTTGTTTATAACTAACTAGCTACCTATGCTAACACATGAAAGCAATGACAATACTGGCAAAAACTGTCAAAAAATCAACCACTGCTGCTGAAATTTTAAATTGCTATAGTTGTTTTGTAAAATAGCTTGCCAGTTTCTTCAAGTGGCAAATATCAATTATCCTATGACCAACAATTTCACTCCACAATATATACCCAAGTAAATGAAAGCACATTCCCACACAAAACTATACATGAGTGTTCAGAATTGTTATGCATAATAGGCAAAAAGTAGAAACAATCCAATGTCCATTAACTGAATGAAAACTGAATGTTTATAAATAGACAATATGTAATACAGGTATACAATTATTTGAAAATAAAAAGGAAGGAAATATTAATTGATGCTACATGGGTGAACCTTGAAATAATTTTGCTATGTGAAAGAAGCCAGTCACAAGGGAACACACATTGTATGATTCTATTTATATGAAATGTCCACAGTAATCATATTCTTAGAGACAGGAAAGAAATTAATGTTCACCAGTGAGTGACTGGAGGGGGAGTTGGGAGTAACTACTAATGGGTATGGGCTTTCCTTTTTCAAGTGTTGAATATGTTCTAAAATTAGACTGGTGATAGTGGAAAAACTGAGGATATCTTAAAATCGACCATGTGTACTTTTAAAAGGTGAATTTTATAGTATATGAATTAAATTTTAATAAAGGTGTTATTAAGAAAAATATACTTTAAAAAATAATCACATCTGAGTGTGAATTTTGTCTTTCTTAGGATATCTAAAATAGAAGAATTTAAGGAAAATAGAAGGCATCTTTTTCTTCTAGCGGTTTCTTCATCTTAATGAGTGGTAAAAACAACTCAGAAAAACAGAAAAGGAATGAATACTCTATTTGGAAATAGCTACTAAGGAAAAGTTATAAGAGCTGTATTCAGTGCCATGTGAGCCAGGAAAAGTAAAATTAGTCTGCACTAGAATAATTGGTGGCTACCAAAGATGCTACCCTGGTTCCAAATCAAAAGGCCTCTGTAACTCAACTCCAAATCCCCAGAGATTCCAGTCTCTGTCCAGCTGTCCGATCCTGACAAACCCAGCATTCTCATCCAACCTGCAAGCTTTGATCTGCTACAGACTTGCCTCATGCTACCTTGATGCTTAAGAGATGAAGAAACTTCCAGAACTGATTAAGAAGCGTGACTAACTGAATGATGCATAACCTTTCACAAAAACGCACTAGCTGGAAATAAAATTCCAAATTATTTCAGCAAATTCTTGAGATATTGAAAGTAGAAAACAATGCATACTATGATTTTTACTTTGTGGGTAAGTTCACTGATACTGTTTCATCTTAGAGCTGATAGGAAAAATATATTTTGAAATCAATACATATAATTTAAGAAAAATAAATTTTTTTTTAAATTGCATAAAATGAAAACATATTATAACATTAAATGTAAATAAGTTCAATTCCCCTCCTAAAAATTACACTTCAGTCTTGCTCAAAAAGAAAAGCAAGGTCCTTTGGTTTATAATACTTATTCTAAATTTACAAGACACAGATTGAAAATAAAGTGATACATCACCCAAAGGCAGAGAAAAGGAAGACAAAATGACAATGTCTTATACAAACAGCATTTAGGAAAACAGCATTTTGTAGGGAAAAAAAAATATTTTAAATGCATGTACTTATTTATGAAAGATACATTAGACAAAATTTCATAACATGTAAATATACAAAGCAAAACTATTGGAATCAAGAAAATTTTAACAGCCCAACCGGTGTGGCTCAGCGGTTGAGCATCAACCTATGATCCAGGAGGTTGCAGTTCAATTCTCGGTCAGGGCGCATGCCCGGGTTGCGGGCTCGATCCCCAGCAGGGGGCGTACAGGAGGCATCGATCAATGACTCTCTCATCACTGATGTTTCTATCTCTCTCTCCCTCGCCCTTCCTCTCCCCAAAATTAATAAAGATATATTTTTTAAAAACAAAATAAGAAAATTTGAACAAACTGCCATTATAATAATATATTCAGGCAGATTACAGTAACAATTATAATTAAAATTTAATGTAATATAACTATAACGTAGTAACATTGTATTAGCAGATTCAGGAGGAGAATAAGGAATAAAAGGAGAGGGGGAAGAGGAAGAGAAAAGAGATAAATATTGTAAAAAGAGACACAACTTTATTAGTTACCATGATTTTATATTATAAACTACTTTCTTAGGAAATAATGTAGAATAATATTTGAAAAACTTCCAGATCTAACCAGAGAAGTTCGGTACGGAAGTGGCAGATAAAATATAAATATATCCCTTTTATACAGTGATAGTTAATTTAAAAGAATAATGGGAAAAATCTCATTAGCATAAAGATGCATATAAAATAAAACTTTAATTACTGAAAAAACATGCTATTCTCTAAAGTGAAAAACTCAATTATGTGCCTTTTTCTAGAAACTGGGGAAAAACAAACTACAGTTAATTTTGAAAAGTAACTGTAAGAATTGCCATGAATTTTTGTAATAGATATTTAATGAGAGAAAATTTGTCATACCAATTATACAAAGATACACTAAGATTGCTGTAATTTAAAAAACCCACCAGAAATGAAGTGGAAATATAGATAAACAGAGATGCTGGCCAGCTTCCCCCAAAGCAAGAAAGCCAAGAGTACAAGCCATTTCTGGCCTAGTCTTGGGAGGCCCACACCATCACATCCATAATATCCCATGGGTTATATATCAACCCTATTTGGTGTGAGAAAGGATTACAAGGGCATGGATACCAGGAGGTGAGGATCATTGAGAGCCATTTTTTTTACAATGGTTACTATAAAATTCTAGTAAGAAACTTCTTAAAACAGTTTTTAAAACATGTAACAAATAAGTTAAACTTTTGTATACATGATAAAACAGTATGTGAAAAATAAATTGAAATATAAACAATAAATATAGGAAAAACTACTTACTTGGACAAAACCTTATGGAAATTTTACACTCTGCATTTGGTTGTAGAATCCCACTTAGTACATTAAAGGTGAATATGCCATCTATGAAAAGTTTATCAGTTTCACTAATGTCCAAAGTCCACTCCACATCTTTTTTTGAGAAATTATGTAAGACAAGATGCTGTTAACACAAAAAAACATAAAAAGAAGCAATTTATAAAAATTATAATATGCAATATAAAATTCGGTTGGCATAACCATACAAACTTGACGGGCCTATGTACAAAGTCAAGCAATTAAGTCATAATCATAGGTACAATGTTTTAAAAGGGTTGTTAAGCAAACAAAGCGTAGGCAAATATGTTCATAGCTTATTAACAACTACAAAAAGTACACAAAGGATAGAGACTGAGGTAAAACCAAACTATCAGAATTGTGATGCTAGCTAGCAAGAATGCACAGTAACAAAAACCTTCATTCAGGATTGTGAGAATGCAAAATGGTGCAGCCCCTTTGGAAAACAGTTTGATAGTTTCTTATAATTTGAAGCATGCACCTACCAAAGGACCCAGTAATCCCATTCCTACGTATTTACTTAAGTGAACAGAAAATTTATGTCCACACAAAAATCTGTATGTGAATGTTTATAAATAATAGCTTTGATCATAATCACCAAACACTGTTAGAAAAAACAAGTAAGATTTCCTTCAATTTATCTAATGAATAGATAAATTGTGTTATATCCATACAATAGAATAAAATTCAGTGATAACATGAGTGAAGCATTCATAAAAAGAAATAAATTAATATTAAATATATTTTGCTAAGTCAAAGATGTTAGACCCAGACGGCTACAAATTATACAATTAAATTATCTGTCATTCTGAAAATGCAAAATTATGTAGATGGACAAAAAAATCAGTGTTTGCCAAGTGTTGGTAGGAGGAGGAATAGTTGACTGCACAGAAAATTTTTGGTGTGATGCAACTATTCTGTTACACAGAGAATTTTTGGTGTGATGCAACTGTTCTGTAAGTAAGGTACTGAAGTGGTCAATAAATTATTCTATACACTTTTCAAAACCCATACAGGTGTATGATACAAAGTGTGAACTTAAAAGTATTAAATTTTAAACTATCAACCAAGATGTTGAGAATCATAGGATGAATCATAGACTACAACAAACTGTATTACAAATGTACGATATAACCTCACTGATGTTATTGGGAATGGGGAGAAATGGCCTAAGTAACTTTGGAAAACTACATTTTGACTAGAAACTATAAAGCTAAATACAAAAAGTTCCTCTTTATAAACACTGTACTCTAGTTGGTAAACGTGTTAGCACCTCTCACAGGCTACAGGTTAAAAATTATAAAACTTTTTTGCTAGCATGATAGGGTTACAAAAAAATTAAATAAATAATAAATAAGAAAGCCAGATCTCTCACTGTCAGAGAAAACGGTGAAAAATAAGCAACAGAGAAAGAATGGAATGAATCTTGTAGTGCTGGATTTGAGTCACAGTTGGAGATATCAATTTGAATGCATGTTGAGAGAGAGAGGATATAGATACCAAGGATAGATGGATAGATAATTACAGGTGCATGTCACAGATGATAAAGATAATTATAGCTATATGTGTATTCATGGGTTAGTAAACAAACAAATATTTCCTTGCTCTTTTTGCCAAACAGGTCTAGAACACATGACATCCCAGTAGCACCTAGCACACCTGCTGCACAGATCTTGTTTTCTAAATATCATTCCCAGAAAACATTTGATTATTGCTTCAATTTCATCAGTTGTTACTGGCCTATTCAGGTTTTCTGATTCTTCCTGATTGAATTTTATATGATCTCACTCATGTGTGAAATCTAATGAACAAAATTAATGAACAAAATAGATCCAGAAACAGAGAAGCATGGTACAGACTGACGAATCTCAGAGGGAAGGAAGGGGTGGGGAGTGGGGAGGAGGAGAGATTAAACAAAGAACTTATATGCATATATGCATAAACCCTGGACACAGACAATAGTGTGGTAAAGGCCTAGAGGAGGTGGGGGTGGATTCGGGGTAGAGGGGATCAATGGGGGGGCATTGATAATGGGGGGCATCAGTAATACTTTCAATAAAGATAAATTTTTAAAAAATAAATATCATTCCCCCATAAAATGTACTGAGGTTTCTCAGAGAAAATGTCGATTCTAGAGCTTGGACAAATAAAATAAAAGATTAGCTTAGACCATTAGTAGTACCAGAAAATAAGAAAATGCTTAAAAATCATAATGGTGAGAGTATGTGAAAGGTACAATCTAAAAAAGCTCCCAATGGCCAAAGTTGAAACAATTTTAGCAGCAAAATAAATAATGTAATATTGGGTTATAACTGACAGTATAAAATAAATACATGTGAGTTCACAGTGACAGATTATGTAATTAAATAAATAATGAATGAATGAACGAATGAATAAATTAAATAAATAAATAAATAAATAAATAAATAAATAAATAAATAAATAAATAAATAATAAAGGGAGAGAATAATTTTTCTTACAGAAAAATTCCAAAAAATATTCCCCTCCAGAAGGTCAAGGTTGACCCTGTACTCCTTGAGTGTGGGCTGAAATTGACAACTCACTTCCAAAGTACAGAGCATGGAAAGAGAAAAATAGTTGGAAATTTGGTATATATATCAAAGTCATGTTGATACTATGTACTCCCTTCACATGATATGACAAAAAGAACGTTTTGCCTCCTTTACATTCTTCTCAAAACCCATGGAAAATAAGCACTCAGTGTAGTCAGGTGCTAAATATCAGACAAACCTAAATTAAAGAACATTCTGACTTGACATAAGGTGGTAAACACATAGTACAATACACAAATGATATATTATAGAATTGTACACCTGAAACCTATATAATTTTATTAATCAATGTCACCCCAATGAATAAAATTTTTTTAAATGTTAGGGTGATAAAGTACAAGGCAGCTATATATGTATAAATATGGACAAATTTACAAGAATAACTGTTATGAGGGGAAAGCAAGGTGTAGAACACTGTGCATAGTATTATATATATATTTTATATATATATACATGCACACACATATATATAAAATGCATACATGTGTAAGTGTGTATATATATATATATATATACATTCCCATGTTCATGGACAATCATTAAAGTGGTTCACAAAAAACTGGTAATGATAGTTGATTTTGGAGAGGAGAATGGCTGGAGGATAGCATAGGAGAGAAATAGAATTTTTATTGTGTAATTGTACATAATATCGTATTCTAGACTTTTGTACCATGTGCATACACCTGTTCAATAATAAATAAATAAATAATAAATAAATAAATAAACAAACAAACAAATAAATAAATAAATAAATAAAATTGATATCTCATCTCAGTTTATATTTTTTGGCACCTAAAGGCTGAACAGATTTTTATCTACCTACTGGCCATTTCTATTTCTTATCTCATGAATTGCGTTGACATGCTCTTGCATAAGATATAGCTTTCTAAAAGTCCTGTAATAGTATTAAAATCTATAAGCATTTTGGGAAAACCTCCAACATTTCATAAAGTAGAGCTGCCTGTTACTATGCTACCAGTGGCCATGCTTTCATTCAAGGAAATGCTGTTACAGTTTATACCATTGTTGCCTAAGCAATCAATGATTTCCCTCGGCACCAAATGCAGCAAGGGAAACCCACTGAGGCACAAAACAGTTTCCATACTTGAAAAGCTACGACTATGATTAATCTGGGAGAGGAAGAATATTTTATCTTGGGGATGTAAAAGCCGATAATCCTTGGTGTACATGTTTGTAGGTTTATGGTGAGTATGTGTAAGGGACAACATTAAAATGTCATACTAAAGTGAAAATAAGAAATAATCTTCCTAATACAACTTATAATAAATATTACACTTAAATATTAAAGAATTTAGAAGGTGATGGCATGCTACTTGGGTGGTCATCTCCCCCTCATATATTTTTTTAGGTATAGAATTTGAAACGACATGGTGGTTCTGTGTGAGGCCTTCTTCTTTTCTCCTTTTTATTTGTAAGGCATAATCTTGGTTTTCAAATACCAAGTTTGTCTGGAATCAAAGAATCACACTTGAGTCTTCATATGTTAACCTTTCCAAGGAACGGGAGGCCCCAGCATAGCAGCACCTTCCCGCTGTCCTGTCAGCCTCCAGCAATGTGGAATTTCTTCACTGATTTAAACCTTGGTCTGGACCAGTGAAAGGGGATTTAAAATATCCATTTCAGAAGTGTATTGTGAAGATTAAATTAAATAACATGTAAACCTCTCAGCACATTGCCCTGTACTAGGAATGCACCTAGCAAGCTGTGATATCATCATCATCATGAAGATGAATACAAGAATGTGGCCATTTATCAAGATGAAGGTGGAATAGGCACAGAACCCACAAATGAATCTGCATACAATTCTGGGGACATGAATGTCTTTAAATAAACATTTCCTGTCAAATTGCAGAAAAACAACAAAACAAAGAGCAGCTATTTTGCATGCTCCTTCAAGTAGCACCTGTCACTGAGGTGGGAGGTATCACCCTCTGCACATCTCTCACCGAACATCACAATGGACACAACCAACCAGGGAAGGATGAGTATTTGTAGGAGAACTGAACCAAGAAGGACATAAGGGTAAGTGACTAACAAAAATGAATTCACTGGAAAACACTTCGGTGGTTTCTCAAAAAGTTAAGCATAGCGTTACCACATGACCCAAGACATCCACTCTCTAGATATACACCCAAGAGAACTGGAAACATACCTTCTAACAGGCATGGAGTTCCTCTTGGGGGCTGGTGAAAATGTTCTGAAATGAGATAGCAGCGATGGTGGCACAAAATAGTGAATATATTAAAAACCACTGAGTTATGCACTTTAAAGTGGAAAATTGTATGTTATGTGAATTATATCTTGATTAATAAAAGAAATGAATTCCTGGACTGCTCCACACATTACCCATATTTAACATTAGGCACTGTAATTTGGAAGAATGATTTTATGTTGTCCATGGAAGGAAAAAGCAGATGCAACAACAGCACCAAAGACAAGTTAGACACAAACTATTTAAGGTTAAAATAAAGAACAGGAAAAAAAAAAGAAAAAAGAAAAAAAAATTCTGAAAAATATGCCAGACCTTAAAATTGTCATAAAAAATTTAGCAACAGCCTGTCACATATCAAACTAAATGAAATATAGAATCTTGGACTGGACATTAGTGAAAACCTGGTGAAATCCAAATAGGATGTGTTTAGTTAATAATATTGTGCTAATGTTAATTTCTTAGTTTTGAAAAATGGTCTGAAAATGGTTGTGTAAGTTGTCAACATTACAAAAAGGTCTGTGAAAAATATACAGAACCTCTCAGCACTGTTTTTGTAATGCTTTCATAAATCTGGGAGCTATGGGGATGACTTGTGTGCAGACTCATCTTTCCAATGCAACATAGTTTTAAAGTAAAACCTTAAACCAGGGTTGTTTTTTAAAAAATAGGTTTTTATTGATTTTAGGGAGAGAGGAAGGGAGAGGGAGAGAGAGAAAAAGATCAATGTGAGAGAGAAACATCAATTGGTTGCCTCCCATATGTACCCCCAACTGGGTATGTGCCCTGACTAGGAATCAAAAGGGTGACCTTTCGGTGCACGAACAATGCTCAACCAACTGAGCCACACTGGCCAGAGCTAAAGCAGGTCTTTAAAATTAACTTTACTCTTCAAAATTTTGAAGATTATAGAATGGCCCATACAATATAACCGCAACAAAATAATGTAATTTGTTTCTTTATAAAGCATGATTGGTTTAAAATATTTTTAAAAAATAAAAAATGAGTCAATTTTACTCTGGATGTCTCTTAGTACTTAAATATTTAGTTCTAATATTTGTATACTATATAACAAAGTTCATTTGTACCTTATAAAGAAAACATCTTTTCAAACAAAAGATGGACATGAAATCATAATAGCTATTTGAATGACTCATTTCTGTCATTTTGAAATTGAGGTAATGGTATAAGACCTCTAAATACTATCCACTTTCCACATCCTATCATAAGAATAGAACCAATACAGTCAGCTATAGAAAAACATTGTTTAATTCATTTAGTGTGTTGTATCATTTTTCTTTATAACTTTATCAAAATAATACTGTACATAGGTTACACAAAAGCTCAAAAATGCTTATAAAAAACAACTGTCTCATTTAACCCCTCCTCTTCAACAGTTCCCAGAAGCAATCAATTTTAGCCAATTCTGATTTGGATTTTCTCTCATAGTTATTCCTTATTTTAACTGTGATGCTCATATGACTTACTCTAATAGTTATACCTTATTTTCTCTAATAGTTATACTTTATTTTAACTGTGATGCTGATATGGTTTTTGATGGTTGCCATAACAAATTACCACATAGTAGTTTAAAACAATATAAATGTATTATATTACAGGGCTAAGGTTAGAAGTTCAACAAAGATATCACTAGATTAAGATCAAGGTGTTAGAAAAAATTAAGACACTTTCTGGAGGCTCTAGGAAAGCATCTCTTTCCTTCCATTCCCAGTTTCTAGAGGTCAGACACATTCTGTGGCTGGCAGCCTCCTTCCACTGTCTTCACATCCAGCAACATCGCATCTCCCTGCTCTTCTTCTATTATCACACTTCCTTCTGGTCACAGTCAGAAGAGCTTCTCTGTTTTTAACCACTCATGTGAAAAGATTGGGACCACTTAGATATTCTAGGATAATCTCCCTTGTTCAGGGTCCTTAATCTTAATCTCATTACAGAGCAGCAAAGTATCTTTTGCAAAATAAGTTAGTGGATTCACAAGTTCTGGGGATTAAGAATTAAACAAATTTGGAGGACATGACTTTGACCACCACATGGCTATTTCATAATTTATCAGATTCAGATACCATGTCTTGACTGATATGCTAATAAAAATGGGGATTTAGCTCATGTGCACTACCTCCACTCCTTTCTCCACCTCCCAGTTTTGGATATTTGTATTATTTTAATTCTTCCACTAGTCACCAGGCAACTTTAAACAATGTATTTATATCTTTAGCCCTTTTTCTTGTCAACTTTAGACAATTCGCTTTAGTTACCCAGTATGTAAGATGAATTTCACTTCTCTTCCTTCAACCATTTCCAATCCTTGTGTCAACTGAACCTTCATATACAAATTGTATGTATCATACACGTCACTTTCCATATACAGGGGTGGGCAGAAGTAGGTTTGCAGTTGTGAGTACGCAAAAGAGAATTTATTCTTGTATTATTATTATTTTTTTAATCCTCACCCAAGAATAGGTTTTTATTGATTTTAAAGAGAGAGGAATGGAGAGGGGGAGAGAGGTACATTGACACGAGAGAGAAACATCGATTGGTTGCCTCCCGTATGCACCCCAACTGGGGCAAACCCACAACCTGGCTTTATGCTTTGACCCGGGAATCGAAGCTGAGACCTTTTGGTGTACGGGAGGACGCTCCAACCAACTGAGCCACACTGGCCAGTGGTATTTTTATTCTTGTATTATATATTTTTCCATATGAACTGTTAACCTACTTTTGCCAATCGTTATATATTGGTTTTCCTACAATAAATTTTGAACCTTTGTAGCTTAACAAAAAATTATGTGGAGAAAATATTTAACATTGCATCCATAAAGTAATAGCCGAGTGTACACACAATTATAGCTAGAGAACAATAAAGGTTCTCTTCTGCATTTAAAATGTGACTGTTTCAAGCATACAGTCAGTAAGACTTCTAACTGTAATAAAACTTTGAGGATGCAAAAGACCTCCTATGTGGAGCTAGAAAGGAAGCTTTAGTGAACTGAATTGGTTTGAATTCTGGAGAAAAAGAATCCCTTCATAAATGCAAGATTATTTTATATCATTTTACATCATCGTAATTTTATTCACTTGGTGTGATAAAATTCAATTTGGACAAGAGAATTCTCCCTTGATTGGCAAAGGACTCACATTAGCCTCACAGAGAAGGAACTATGGCTCTTATACACTACTTGGATTAGGCATGAGTAATATTTACAGTCAGAATAAAATATATAATCCAGAGAAGTCAAGATGTTTATGTAGCAGAATTAAAATATAATCATATATAACATATTTATAGGGTGAGGCAAAAGTAGGTTTACAGTTGTGAGCATGCAAAACACAGAGTTTATTCTTATATTATTATTTATTATTGTATTATTTTCCACATGAACAACTGTAAACCTACTTCTGCCCCACCCTGTATAGACATACTTCTGAGAAATGAGATATATATGTATATATGTATGCAAATTACATATATATGTATATACAAGTTCTCTAAAAATGAGTCTTATAACATATGCTTCATAATAACTCAATAAACTAAAAACCATAATCATAAAAAACAGTTGTAAACTGCACCAATTCTCTATACATACCTGAGTTTTTTGTACCCTTTTCTTATACTTCAGAGCATATGGTGGAATATCAAATATAAATTCAGTTCTGGATAATTTCACTGGTGCTTGCAATACTATGAGAAGAAAGAAAATAGACTGATAAAATATTAACAGATATAACCTCACAAATAATTCTTACTATGCTTCGCAACAGGACACAATAAAATATACAATATTTTCTATTTTTATATTGCCAGCAAGACAAAAACTTAAATTTTAAACATTTTTAGAATATCTTGGTTTATCACATCTATAAAATTCCAATTTTGTATTTTGAATGGTAATTAAGTACAAGTAAAACTTTAAAAACTATCCTTGAGACATTAAAAAATATAAAATATGAAAAATATTGAGCTGGGAGAAAAGCAAACAAAGTTAATATAATCTCGATATTGAGTTTAACCAATGCAGTACAGAAGTGAAAAAAAAATAGAAAAAAATATGGCAATAAAGAAACATATGTAGATTGTGTATCATAACATTCATGCATGAGAAAATAAAGTGGCTATTCTATTGAAGATTAGAATTGGTGGAATCTGTAAAAGTACATTAGAGAAGATATTATATTACCTGTTGGAAAATCCTCTTTTTTTAATATATCTTTATTGATTTCAGAGAGAGGAAAGGGGAGGGAGAGAGAGAAACATCAATTATGAGAGAGTCGCCATTGACTGGCTGCCTCCTGCACGCCCCCTGCTGGGGATGGAGCCCGCAACCCGGGTCTGTGCCCTGACCGGGAATCAAACCACGATCTCCTGGATCCTAGGTCAACGCTCAACCACTGAGCCACACAGAGCCAGGCAGAAAATCCTCTTTTTTAAAAAAATTTTATTAAATTTATTCTGTGACATCGGTTAATAAAATTATATAGGTTTCAAGTGTGCAATTTATTGCTACATCATCTGCATATTGTTTTGTGTGCCCACCACCCAAAGTCAAATCATCTTCTGTTACTATATACTTGACTCCGTTTACCCTTTACTAACACCCAACACCCTTCCCTCTGGTAACCACCATACTGGTGTCTGTGTCTATGACTTACTATTTGTTTATTTTTCTTCTTCATTCATTTGTTGCATTTAGTTTTATATCCCACATGAGTGAAATCATAAGGTTCTTGACTTTTTCTGTTTGATTTATTTCATTTAGCGTATTTTCAAGATCCATCCATGTTGTCCGAAATGACACTATTTCATCTTCTTATCGCTGAGTAGTATTCCATTGTGTACATGTCCCACATCTTTATCCAGTCCTCTATCATAGGACACTTTGGTTGTCTCCATGTCCTTTTTTTTTTTTAATATATCTTTATTGATTTCAGAGAGAGGAAAGGAGAGGGAGAGAGAGAGAGATAGAAACATCAATGATGAGAGATTCATCGATGGAGCCTACAACCCAGGCATGTGCCCTGACCGAGAATCGAACCCTGATCGCCTGAATCCTAGGTTGACACTCAAACGCTGAGCCATGCCTGGCTGGGCTGTCTCCATGTCTTGCCCACCGTGAATAATGCTCCAATGAACATAGGGGTGCATATATCTATGAGGATAAATGTTTTCAAATTTTTCGGGTAGCTACCGAGAAGACAGACTGCTGGGTCATATGTTAACTCTATTCTTAATTTTTTTAGGAGAATCCATACTGTTTTCCATAGTGGTTGTACCAGTTTACATGCCCAGCAGCAGTGAATGAGAGTTTATTTTTCTCCACAACCTTTCCAAAATTTGTTATTACTTGTCTTGTGGACAATAGCCATTTTAACAAGTGTGAAGTGCCATCTCATTGTGGTTTTAATTTGTAATATCCATATTTAATGCAATCCCCATTTAAATCCCAATTGTCTTTTTTTCCTTAATCTTTTTTTGTTTTTTTGTTGTTGTTTTATTTTTACAGCTGTCTCCTATTTTACCCCCATTGATCCACTCCACCCCGCATCCATCCCCTCCCCAGGCCTTCCCCAGACCAGTGTCTGTGTCCCCGGGTTATGCTTATAAACACGTAAGTTCTTTGATCAATCTTTCCCCACCCACTCCCCACTCCCCACCTTCCCTCTGAGATCCCTCAGTCTGTTCCATGCTTCTATGTCTCTGGATCCATTTTGTTCATCAGTTTATTTTGTTTATTATATTCCACATAGAAGTGAGATCATGTGGTACTTGTCTTTCTCTGACTGGCTTATTTCCCTTAGCATAATACTTTCTAGTTTCCTCCATGCTGTACCAAAGTACAAAAGATCCTTCTTCTTCACAGCTGCATAGTACTCCATGGTGTAAATGTGTCACAGCTTTTTTATCCACTCATCTACTGATGGGCACTTGGGCTGTTCCCAGATCTTAGCTATTGTAACTTGCACTGCTATGAACATATGGCTGCATGTCACACAGTTGAAATGATACCATATGTAGCATTTTGAGATTGATTCTTTCACTTAATAATATAAATTTAAGGTCCATAGGATCTGTATCAATGGCTTAATAGCTAATTTCTTTTTAGTGCTGAATAACAATCCACTGTCAGAGTGTAACAAAGTCTATCCATTCATCTACTGAAGGATATCTTGGCTGCTTCCAAGATTTAGCAATTATAAGCAAATCTGCCATAAACATTTGTGTACAGGTTTTTGTGTGAACATAAACTTTCAACTCTTTGGGGAAAATACCAAGGAACACAATTTAAGAGATTGTATGTTAAGAGTATGTTTAGAAACCACCAAATGTCCTCTTCTGGTGTAGCAAATCATTTACCATTCCCATCAGCAATGTAATCTCACTAGCAATTGCATTCCCACCAGTTCCTGTTGCTCCACATCTTCTACAGCCTTTAGTGTTGGCAGTGTTCTGGATTTTGTCTATTCTTATAGGTTGTAGTGGTATCTTATTTTCATTCACATTTTCCTGATGATATATGTGAAGTCTTTTTTATACTCTTATATGCCATGTGTATATCTTCTTTGGTTATGTTCAGATGTCTGGCCCATGTTTTAATTGGTTCATTTTCTCCTTGAATTTTTGAGTTCTCTCTATATTTTAGACAACAGTTCTTTCTCAGATATGTCTTTTGCAAATATTTTCTCCCAGCCAGTGGCTTGTCTTTTTGGCACTTGAAAGTGTCCTTTGCAAAGCAAATATTTTATTATTTTATTTTTTTTAAATATATCTTTATTGATTTCAGAGAGAGGAAAGGAGAGAGAGAGAGAGATAGAAACATCAATAATGAGAGAGTCATTGATCGAGGCCGCAACCCGGGCATGTGCCCTGACCGGGAATTGAACCCCGATCGCCTGGATCCCAGGTCGACGCTCAACGGCTGAGCCATGCCCGGCCGGGTGCAAATATTTTATTTTAATAAAGTCCTGCTTATCAATTATTTCTTTCAAGGATCTTGACTTTGTTGTATCTAAAATGTCATCGCCAAACCCAAAGACATCTAAATTTTTCCTATGTTATCTTCTAAGAGTTTTATAGTTTTGATTTTTTATATTTAGGTCTATGATGTACTTTGAGTCAATTTTTGTGAAGAATTTAAGGACTGTGTTTAGATTCTTCTTTTTTAATTTGTGGATATCCAGTTGTTCGGCACCACATTTTGAAAGGATAATGTTTTCTGAATCGTATTGCCCGTACTCCTTTGTGAAAGATCAGTTGACTACATTTCTCTGGGTCTATTTCTGGGCTGTCTTTTTTATTCCATTGATCTATTTGTCTATATTTTTGCCAATACCAAACTCTCCTGATTACTGTACCTTTGTAGTAAACTCTGAATTCCTCCAGTGTCAGTCCTCCAACTTTGTTCTCCTTTAAAAGTGTGTTGGCTGTTGTGGGTCTTTTGCCTTTCCATATAAATTTTGAATCTATCTGTCAATAGCCACAAAATAACTTGCTGAGAATCTGATTGGGATTGCCTTAATTCTCTCGATCAAGTTGGAAAGAACTGCCATCTGCACAACAGTATCTTCCGATATATGAACATAAAATATCACTTCACTTATTTAATTCTTCCTTGATTCCTTTCTTTAGAGTTCTGTAGGTTTCCTCATATAGGTCTTGTAAATATGTTGTTAACATGAGTGTTTCACCTTGGAGGCTGCTCATGTAAATGGTATTTTGTATTTAATTTCAAAATCTATTCGTTCATTGCTGGTATACAGGAAAGCAACTGACCTACATTAGCATATTAACCTTGTATTCTGAAACCTTACTAGAGTTCCAAGAGATTTATCAATTCTTTCAGATTTTCTATATAGATAATCATGTCATCTGTGAACAAAAACAGTTTAGTCCTGTTTTCTTAATCTGTATAAATAATTCATGTTTTAAATTGCACAATGTGAGTTGTGTGATAAAATCTCATGGAGTTCCACTCCATTCTGGCTGAGATGTGAATCATCCCTTCGTCTAGCATATCCGCCCTGTATACTCCCCCAGCCTGTTAGTCACTTAGTGGCTGTCTTGATTAGCAGGTCAACTGTCACAGTATCACACTGCTTGTGTTCATGTAACTTTTATTTTACTTAATAATGCCACATTCACATAACTTTTATTATAGTATATTGTTATAATTGTTCTATTTCATTATTAGTTGTTTTTAATATCCTACTGTGCTGAATTTATAAATTAAACTTTATCATAGGTATGTATATACAGAAAAAAAACAGCATACATAGGGTTTGGCACTATCTATGTTTCCAGGCACCCACTGGACACACTGGAACTTATCCCCAGAGGATAAGGGTGGACTACCGTAAAGAGATCACTGACATCTGTCAGATGAATACAAAACCTCAGTGATAAAGGCAAAGTTCATGAACAGGTAATTGACATAAATATATAATAACAAAGATAGAAAATTATAATCTGTAAGCAATCAAAAAAATGAAAATTGAAATAATAGACTTTTAATCACATAGAAAGGTATCCAATTTCTTTAATTCAATGCTGGTTACAGTTTATACTGGAGGAGAGGTAAAAGAGCACAACTCTTCACAAAAGCCTTTTTGGAAAATGCATTAAGAGCTGTAACTTGTACGTACTTTAGAAGAAATGCAGCTAATTCAGAGAATCTCACTTACAAAAATTATCTAAATAAGGAAAAGAACCATATGATATCACTCATATTTTGGATATAAAACAGAAAGCAACAAACAAACAAACTTACAGACACAGACAACAGTATGGTGGCTACCAGAGGGGAAGAGGGATGGGGGAGGTAGAAGAGAGTAAAGGGGGGATAAATGGTGATGAAAGAAGACTTGAGGTGAACACACAATAAACAGATGATGTATTATAGAATCGTACACTTGAAACCTATATAATTTTATTAACCAATGCCACTCTAGTAAATTCAATAAAAAATGTTAAAAAAGAAAAAAATTTAAATAGAAAAAAGTATTATACACAAAAATGCTCACTACTACAATATTTATATTAAGAAAAAAATAAAAGAAAGAAAGAACCTAAATGCTTCTGGTTATGGTTAAATAATCTATAAGAGGCACTTATTGAATGATATATTATATAATACTTATCAGTCTTAATTTATATAATTAATAAGGGCCTATCACATCCAAGTAAAACTTTGTATTAAGCATGACCAGATTTCAACTTAACATAGGCAGTAAGATCTCAAATATGTTAAAAAATAAATAAAAGCAAAGTATAGAACAAAAGAAAAGTTAAATCCCAACATATTAATAATAGTGTGTTCTAAATATTCACATTGCAGATGACATTTACTGTATTTCTACATTTTCTAATTTTCCATAATGATGAAACATTAAACTTCATGGAGCTTCCTTAGCAGCTGTGAAATTCTTAATTCTGTATTTTAAATGGGAGTAAAATAAATCTCTATTTGTATATGCTACTTTAATGAGGCTTCTCTTACTAGGTGCCAAGTATAAAAACAAAATATAACAAAATGTAGTATAGACTAGACTTAACTTTTCTGAAAAATATTTAAACATCTATTATGAACTATAAAGCAAAAGCTTTTCAAAACTATGGTTTGCAGAGTGCACTGGTTTTATACTTGAATATTTGGAGAATATGAGTAAATAAATATTTGACAAATATTTCACAATTTGAATATGCTTATCCTTCTTTACATGTCGTTAGTCCTTTAGTAACCTATCCCTATGGGGGAAATATTTTCTAAAATAAAATTTCCATCCTTTCATTTTACAGCCAATGTATTTTAATGATTTAAATTTTAATACAATCTTTTAAAAACTGCCCTCACAATGAATAAAGTAAGAAACTGACCTTTTGCAAAAAAAAAAAGTTATATCCTATTTTTTTAAGCAAGGGTCACTTATCAGAGATTATATCCATGCTATTTAACAAAATTCAATGTCACTGACCCACAATTTAAGTGAAACACAGAGCAATCACATCATAATTTTACTTTCTAATATTAATATTTTAAAATATATCATTCTTACTTTTAAACTTTTAGCGGCTTAAGTGCGAATATTTGGTTTATGCACATCACTTGAATGTTTCATATTACATACCAGTAGCTTGAACGTAACACGGTCGAATAAGAGGGATCCGAGGCACAGGGGACTTTGACAACTGATATTCAGTGTAAAGTTTTGAAGATTCAAAGAAATTAATTCGAACTTGAAAGCTAAATTCATACGTCGTCACCTGACAGACAAAAAATACATTGCATCTGTGATTATTTTGCTATAAAAATTGGTGATAATAGTTTTATTGTATATACGTAAAGTGCACAACTTGGTGATTTGATATACATATATACATAATGAAATATGCCAAGATGAAGCTAATTAACATATCCATAACCTTGTATCATCACCTTTTTCTTACTTTTTGTGACGAGAACACATCGAGTCTACCCTCCTGGCAAATTTCAAGTATAAAGTACAGTATTGTTATCAGAACTACCATATTGCCCAGCAATCTTATTTCTGGGTATTAATCCAAAGGAAAGGAAATCAAGATCTCGAAGAGATACCTGCCCTGTATTTATTCCAGCATTATTCATAATGGTCAAGATACAGAAATGACCTAAATGCCCTTGAAAGGATAAATGGATAATGATAATGTGCTATATAAATGCAGTGGAATATTTTTAAGCTTTAAAAGTAGAAGAATATCCTGCCATTTGCAACAACATGGATTGACCTAAAGAACATTATGCTAAGTGAAATAAACCAGACAGAAAGATAATGTATGATCTCACTTATGTATGCAATCTAATATAGTCAAGCCCGTGGAAGCTGACAGTAAAACGGTGGTTACCAGGGGCTGCGAGGAGGGAGAAATGGGGAGATGTTGGTCAAGGGGCACAAAGTTTCAGTTATGCAAGATAAATAAGTTATGGACAGCTAGGGAGATACTATGGACTTAGCAAAACAGCAGTTTTAAAAAAGACAGTTTCAAAAAGAAAATTATTTTGTGACACTGAAAGTACATTTTTCAAAGTAAGGCTTGGTTTGTTTTTCATGAGTCCAAAACTAAATCTTAAAAATAAAAAATAAATAAATTTTCAAAATAATGCCTATTAATTCAAAATGGACCAAAGACATAAGTATAAAATCTAAATATATAAACCTTACAGAAGAAAATGTATACAATAGAGTATTGTTAACTACAGTTACCATGCTGCACATTACATTCCCAGGACTTATTTGTCTTATAACTGGAAGTTTATACCTTTTGACCACCTCATAGATGAAGGTGGTCAAATTTTCTATTTTTTCTTGAGAAGTTTTATCCAAATTATCTAATTCGTTGCTGTAAAATTATTCATGATGTTCTCTTATTATTTTTATTGCTATAATGTAGGTAGCAATGTCCTCTCTTTCATTTTGGATTTTATTAAACTGAGTTATTTCTCTTTTCATCTTGATCGGCTTATCTAAAGGTTTGTCAACTTTGTTGATATTTTTAAGATTTCAACTCAGTACTGTTGATTTTCTGTACTGTTTTTGATTCTTTATTTCATTCACTTACACTTTACCCTTTATTATTTCCTTTCTTCTGCTTGCTTTGGGTTTAGGTGGGGTTTATTGGGAGGAGGGTCTTGTTTTTTAAGGTGGAATGTTGATTTGAGGTTTTTAAATTTTTTTTATATAGGTTTTACAGCTATACATTTCCCTTTCAGCATTTCTTTATACACATCCCAGAAGTGGTGGTGTGTTATGTTTTCATTTTCACTTATCAAAGTGTTTTGTAATTTCTTATGTAATTTTTTTTCTTTGACCCATTGGTTATTTAGGATGTGTTGTTTCAGTTCCACCAATTTGTGAATTTACCAAATTTCCTTCTGTTATTGATTTCTAATATAATTTCACTGTGATTGGAGAATATACTTTGTATTATTTAAATAAATTTAAATTTATTGAGGCTTGTTTTAGTGTATCCTATGTAGGTCATGTAGCTACATTGAGGTAAATTTAAAAGAAAGAACTAAGAGAGTTGAAAATGATTGTATGTGGATTTGTGTGTTTGTGGGTGAGTGTGTGTGTGCAAGTATACAATGACAGATGGAAGGGAATGCTGATTTTTAAAATATGCTTTATAGAATTATTTTTGTTTTATATTTTCATATATGTTCTCTTATCATTTTGATGAAAAACAAAAACTCAAAAGGAAAAAGAAAATAAACGCTTTGTGACAAGTTAGTATTTTGAAGCATTAAGGCATGTCCTTCCCCTACTCGGTACGTGCATCTTGCATACACAGAGTCATACGGACACGCACACACGCCCACTTTTTTCAATAAGGGAAATAAACTTATATGTTTCTTCAGTAATTTTAATCTATAGGTTTTTAAGTGTGTCAAGATCAAGTTATATATTTTCTTAATAAGTCTATATTGTGATTTTATATTTTCATACAACGGAGATATATGCTGTTTTTAATGTTATCATTCATCTATAAGAGCATTTATCTTAAGTGTAACTGGAAATTAGAAAAAAGTATATAATCCAGTTTAATTCTGTTTACAAGACTTTTGGGGAAGATGCCTATGCAATTTGATATTTTCATTTTTTTATTCCAATTTACTATTACTGTTTAACTGTCAACCACTAAAAATTTGTAAATCTATTTCTTAATGTTTAGATTGTGGATTCTAAAAATCGGTTGTCAAATTAAAATATATATGTTTACAGTTCTCTGGAGTGCTACACATTGCTTAAGATTTTGAATTGTTCTATATTTACTGGGTATTTTCAAGGGAGACTTACTTAGTGTATTGGGGTGTAATTCAGTCCAACAATGAGAAGAACGTAAAAAGCCCTGCAGACAGCACACCCTGTGAGATTTTGCTCCATAAATTAGAGCCAGTGAGGCAGACCAATTGTCTGATTTCCAGTCATTTCAAATGTCCTCTACTGTAAGTTGCCTCTGTGTGTGTGTGTGTGTGTGTGTGTGTGTGTGTGTGTGTGTGTGTGTGTGGCTGTAACTAGCCAGCGGGAGCTCAGGGGCTTGAGTTAATTCCCGTTGTAACCCACCCTTGCCTCTGGTGCACCAGGTTTGGATACAATCTAAAGTGCTGGTGGGCAGCTGTAGTTGTATTTGGGATCCGCTGGTCTGGTTTGTTTACACTAAATCTCTGAAGCCCTCCCCCCCCTTTCCTACGGGCCACTCAGTGACTTCTGGGCCAATATCTAGTGTTTTGCTTCCCTATATGGTAGTCACTAGCCACATGTGGATATTTAAGTTAAACCATAAAATATTTAAAATTAAATACAATTTAAAATTTATTTTCTCAGTCAAAATGGCCACATTTCAAGCTCTCAGTATCCATATATGGCTACTGGACAGTGCAGAACATTTCCATCACCATAGAAAGTTGTATTTGAAAGCGCTGGTATAGCTCTTTCCCTATTTTTATCCTTACTGTTCCTGCTACAATGGCCCAGTTCTGCCCTGTGGCACAGACTGGTTCATCTTTGTGTCTCAGTTGCTCTCCAGATCTCTGCAGCTCTCATCTCTGCTGTTCTGTATTTTCCCTGAAGCTCTTGAAAATGAGAGAGAATTGTTCATTCTTTTCTTTTTTCCACCAACCTTTTTATGCAACCGTTGGGTAAACATTTCATAGTGGTTATGCTGGATTTACAATCACTCTTACAGGAAGATAGGAAAGAACCCTCAAGGATTAAAATAGAGGACATTTGAATGCCACTTGCCACTTTTCTAGTCACAAGCATTTTTGTCCATCAACTTTTGCCAGGAAACGGAAATCTTTTCTTCATCAGAATATTATTTTCAACTTGAGGCATTCCTCTGTTTAAATGACAACACCTAGGAAAGCACTTAGAATGGCACACATCACAAAGCTTTCCAAGTTCTCCCTCTCCATTAGACACCTCAGTGCTTTCACAATGATAGTACTCATCTTTTCTATGTGTCACTGAGTTGCTGTATAAAAGATGTCTTATATTTTACAGTTTTGTTGAGGGGATAAAACATGGGTGAGGAAATCATCGAACCTCTCAATTTTGCATTCTGAGTGATTACAGGGCTACCTTAGGTAAAAACACATTTTATGTAACCTGTCTGTGAAGATGTGAGTTAAGAGAAGGCCAGGGCAGTGTGACTTCCCACATACACACAATTGGCAGTTACAGAAGGCAGGAATTGACTCTCAGCGTTGTGAATTCAGCACACGGTGTTTTAAAAAATATATGTGTTTCTGGAGGGGAAAAGGCCTCATACTTAAAACAGAGAGACAGTTAAGGGCTGAGATTAGTATATTGAATTATCTTGATAACTACCAACATCATCAGCATCAATAACAACAGGAGACATTCTTGAACTAAGCCCACAGCCATGCTCTGTGTTTACTAGTGTCGTTGTGGTTTTCAAGTCACTAAACATCAAGGAACACTATGAAAGGAACCAGTATCATAGCAACAGCTCCTAAATCTTCACAGCGCATCTGCAGTAATTTCTGGTTGTGATTCCAAGAGCATTAAGCATTCCCCACTTAAATATAAGTACAAAGAACACGTTGGCTCAAATACAAGTGATTTGGGGATTAGCCTCAATTTCCCTCTCCTTCATAAATGTCACATCTTGAGTTTTCTTAGTAATAGGGAGTTGAACTTACTTCTTTAGGAGAAAATGATATGCCGCATTCCATGGATGTCTTTGCCTCCAACTCTAAATAATACAGGTCAGGAAATGCAGGATCTGTGTGTTTCTCTGTAAGACAGGATAAAGTACATGTAAAAGAAGCCACATACATATCTATAACACCATTGTTAAATGTGGAAATGAAACACTGAGAAACCTGTTATGTGTTCATAATCAAAAAGCAGTTACTAAAATACCTGTGCAGGGCTGCATAAGGTTGCTGGGTAAAGGATCGCCCTAAATACCACAATTCTAATCAGCAAAACTGATATCCAAACACTGAGCAAGCATACATTCAATCAGCAAAACAGAGAGTAAACCCAGTTTTAAAAATCTCCGAAGTTCAAGAAGCATATCACAGTCCTATTAAGATGAATGTGGCCCGGCCGGGCATGGCTCCTAGGATCCAGGAGATTGCGGTTCGATTCCCAGTCAGGGCACATGCCCGGGTTGCGGGCTCAATCCCCAGTAGGGGGCGTGCAGGAGGCAGTGAATCAAGGACTCTCTCATCATTGATGTTTCTACGTCTCTCTCCCTCTCCCTCCCTCTCTCTGAAATCAATAAAGATATATTAAAAAAAAAAAAAATGAATGTGGAAAGGAATAAAGGTCAAGGGCATGTCACTGCCTGAGTCGTAGGTCTGAGAAAGTTGGGAGACACCCTTTGCAGTGAAGATGGAGCTGGGAAGGCACAGGCCTCCTCTAACACCTTCAAGAGTCCACAAAGAGGAGAAACACAATTTTACACAAGAAAACTTTTTGACAAAATGGAATCACTCCAGATACAAAAGCACTGGGTGCAGATACAGAAACAACTGTCCATTAGTAATGCAAACTTCAGGTTCAAAAATTATAACCACTTAAATTAACTTCTAAAACAATTTCCTTAAAGATCAAATGATAGAGTAAAACCTCTGTCCTCATCTAAACAATTTTAAAAATTCTTTTTTCTTCCTACAGTTTTCAGATTATGCCAAGGAACGATCATAATTTCAGTTATCCTTGTCTGGAAATGAATGGCAATAACTCATTCCACCCTCCTTCATCCTACTCAATTTCACTTACCTTGATATACACAAGGCAAAAACCATTAAATAAAACAAAAAACCCCATTACGGTTATATTAATATAAACGTTGTCGGTGATGTGAGGAAAGATGCACATATTACACAGCAAAGAATATCCACTTTGAATGGGTGTATGTATAGAACACAGAAGACAAAACAAAAATGGATAAATAAATCAATATTCATAAATATATTTGTATATATATAAACATACAGTTTGTGAAATTCAGTAATTCAAGATAGCTTCAATAAATATTTCTTGAGTGCCTATAATGTGCACAGCACTATACTGGACAACTCTAATAAAAAACAAAAACTGTAAATGTAATCCTTAATCCCATGGAGCTCACAGTGTACCAGGGGAGACAAACAATGATACAAGGCGAAAATTGGTTAGTGTTATAATAAAAGGTACACAGTGTCCTAAGGGAGAAAAGATTTTAAAAGTAATTTCAAACAACTGGACAAGGGAGAGGACTGGGACTAATGACCCATAGGACTCAGGAGGTTGAAGATAATTTATAAAAGAAGGCGGGATCGCAGGCAGCAGGGACAGAAAAAGAGGAACCATCCTAGAAGGAAAGCCCAGTGCCATTGGGAGGAAACGCAAAACAGAATCTGGCAGTGGCACAGAGAGCCGACGGAGCCTGTAATGGGAGCAGTGGCTAGAAAGACAAAGTGGAGTCACAGTCAAATGGACCTCAACCTTGCCTCTCCTGTAAGTCACTCTATCAAATAATCCTGAAGCCATCATGTGAAAAACCAAATCTAACTTGCCAACAAAGGGCATTTATGTGTTCAAATATTTATAATGATAAGACACATTTTTGGAGCATTTTAAGTATAAACTTTACTGCAAATTGTTAATTATTAAGATCAGCTTATGTACTTCCTAGACTGCGCCAGCAGCAGGCTGCTGAGAAACACTGGTCATAGGGAAATAGCAAAGCTTTTTAAGCAAAGGTGTCATAAGATCTCTGTTGTAAGGAGACCACTCTCTGAGATAAGTATGAGGAAAAGGCTTGGAGGAGGCAGAGAAAGCATTTGAAAAGATGATGCAGTGGCCTAGAGGGGAGGTTTCAGCTAGGGCTAAGGCAGAATTAGGGAAAGAAAGGCCCTTTGCAGAGCAGCTCTGCAGAATAACCAAGAACAGTCTGTGATCCACTGAACAAGGTGCATGAAGGTATATGGGCCGGTCAGTGAGAGTAAAGTGCTCAAAGCCATGAAAGTTTCAACATCCAGATTTTTTTTGAAAAATGAATATAGATTTCATATTTATTTCCAAATGCATACTATCATCATTCCTGGGCTATTCCAGTGTCCTCAAACATAACATGCTCGCCTAAACCTGTTCCTGCTGCGTTGCAGCAACTATGAATTGTACCCCTAGTCACCCACCTCTTAGTGTCAAAAACTAGGAATGGTTCGAGACTTCCTACTCTTCCCTAATACCCATGTCTACGTGGTAACCAAGTCAGAGCCTTTCTAAATCCTCAGTGCCTTTGTACTCTCCTTCCCACCCCCCGCATCATGACCTGAGTTTAGGCTCCCATCACATCTTGCCTGTACGACCACAACACCTAAGTGACCTCCCTGTGACTGGTCTTGCCCTTCCCACACCCACGCTTTGCCCCAGTTCATTCTTAACTTTGCTCAAAAAGGAAAATTAATAAAGCATGAGCCTAATCATACCACTGCCTGGATATCAATCCTTTAATGGTGCTGCCTAACATTTGGCTAACAGTCTAGAAAAGACCCTTAGTAACCTGGGTCTCACTTGCCCCTCCAATCTTGTCCCTCTATGCTCTAGATATCCTGAACTACTTCCATACTGACTCATTTCTAGGCTTTTACTTGCATTCTTTCATATATTCCCTTTTCTCATGTATCTCCTCCAAGACTCAAATTATGCATCAAATCCTCCAAAATATCTCTCCTTATTGCTGATTTTGGGCTGGTTTTCCCTAGTATATGCTCCCGCAGCACCATGCACTGACTTGTCCTATAGTATCTGCCATGTTACATGGCAATAATCTAATCTTTCCCCTCCTCTCCTACTGTTGTAGGTGGTCTCTTTTTGTCACTTAGATCCAACAGCCATCTTTCTCTGCTCTATTCTGCTCTGTCCTGGCCTCTACCGGCTGATTCAGCGAGGCCCCCTTGCTCCACTGCCTCGGCTCTGGTTCAACCACAGGGAGACTCCAGCAGGATATGAGAGGGTAAGAGGTATTTATGCCCTCGTGTCTTCGCTGCTTTGACTACAGTTGTGGTAACAGCTTCATTCCTTTAGAGCAGGGGTGGGGAACGTCCTGCCCGCGGGCCACATACACAGCCAGCAAAATCATTTAGTCTGGCCCTGCCAAGGCAAGCGAGGGCGGGACTTGAAATTCAATAAATGTAGGAGTTTCTTTCATAGCTAATTTTTAAGTTGATAATTTTGTATGGCCCAAGAATGATGTTATAGATAGCTAAATGGCCCTTGGCAGCAAAAAGGTTCCCCATCCCTGCTTTAGAGCTATAGCTCTTCAAGTTGGCCCATCTTTCATAGTTTCATCACTCGCAGGGCTCCAATAATATCTTGCCTCTTCTTACTCCTTCAGGCCCAGAAGTAGTATCAGTTTCCATCCCTTGTTGGTTTCTTTCAACCTGGCTCCCACCAATTTTTTCATTGAACCCTCATCATTTAAACTCTTTTAGTGGATCATCTGTTTAGTATTGAGACTAATTAGTATTAGTCAGGACTAATAAGCTTACTGCTCACTTCAAGAAAATGTAAGATTTCTTATCTTTATGACTCAAAGTGTAGTACGTAGCCTATAATTGGTATTCAACAAATATTTATTGAAGATGAAATGACCAAAACAATGCTCAGCAAACTTTTTTTATAAGGGTCCAAATAGTAAATATTTTACGTCTTGCAAGCCACATGGTTTCTAACACAGTCATAGCAGACATGCAGCCATAAACAAAATATAGGTGAGTGTGTCTGTGTTCTAATAAAACTTAATTTATAAAAGCAGGTGTCAGACCAGATTTGGCCTACAGGCCTTAATTTGCCAACCCCTGGAGTAAAGAAATGAAATGCACTTTAAAAAGTGCATATTTTTTGCCCGACTGGGCATGGCTCAGTGGTTGAGTGTTGACCTAGGATCCAGGAGATCGGGGTTCGATTCCAGGTCAGGGCACATGCCCGGGTTGCGGGTTAGATCAATGACTCTCTCATCATTGATGTTTCTCTCTCTCTCCCTCTCCTGTCCTCTCTCTGAAATCAATAAAGATATAAAAAATAAAAAAATAAGTGCATATTTTTTAAAACTTAATTTAACATAAAAATACCTAATACATGAGTAAACATATAGAGAGAGCTTTCCAAGGATATTTATCTGAAATTCATGACCAATTAAAACTAGAAATTAATAATTTTATTTTCATTTATAGTATATAGTTATACATAACATACTTAACTTACTATATTAAATCAATTTATAAGCAGTTATATGTCATGCATTACCAAAGTGTTATGATATTAATATTGATGTATTTCTAGAAGTAAAACCATGATGAATTATGGCATATAAGAAAAACATGCACTGAATCATTAAAAACAGTTAAGAATAACTGCCCTTAACTTACAATATTTTTTTTAACATTATACCTTTGAGCAACTTAAAATTGTTTTATTTTTACAATAATATCATTATAGTACACAATATATACCTGATTTGTCTTTAAAATCCATTGAAAAATATTGACGGCCTTCTAGATTAAACTCCACTCTGGCACGTGTTACACCTTTGTTTTTTACCAAAAATGGAATAATCTGGGTACCGCCAACAAAGGTGCCACCAAAGATAAATTTGTCCTAAATTTAAAAAAAAAAGAATAATTAGAAAGTAGTGTAATAGTTTATGAGAATAATGTAAACTAAAAATTATACTCTAAGAGAGTAATCTTAAAAGTCCTCATAGTAAGAAAAAAAATGTGTGTAACTAAGTTTAGTGACAGATGTTAACTAGACTTATTATGGCGATCATTTTGCAATATATACAACTATTGAATCACCATGTTGTACACCTGAAACTAACCTAATGTTATATGTCAATTCTACCTCAATAAAAAAAATAGTTATGTTCACCAAAGACATTTACTACTCTATAAAAATCAGTCACATTTTCCTTCCTTCCCCCACCTCCTGTATGTAACCAAATACCATACCCCGTTAATTCTGCCTCCTTCCTTTTTGTAATTGTACAAAGTTAGTAACTTATCACTTTTCATTTCATTTCCAGATTCTCACTTTCTCCAATTCTCCCCTATAAAACTAAGTCACAATTAAACTCATTGAAAATACAACCACACTGCTTCATGTCTTAAAATGTGATGCTTCTCCTCCATCTACAGGAGAATGTCCAAGTTCATTAGCAGGGCTCACAGAGTTCCTCATGACCTTCCCCTGCCTCCTGTTCCAGCCTCACCTAGCTTCATTCTCACCCTATCACCTCACACTTCAGCAAGCTGTAGGACTTGTCATTTCCAATCAATACCTGACACTTCATCCTTCTGTATTTTTATCAAGGTGTCCCTCGGTCAGGAAGGCCTTTTGCTAACTTATAATTGCCTGATAAAATATTATGCATCCACCAATCCCCAGTTCGATAAACCAAAATTGATGACACTGCTCAGGGCTACTTCTGTTCCTTATATTTACTTACATTACACCATCACAAAGCCCATTTATTTGTTTACATATCTGTTTCTCCTAGTGGACCTTAAGTATAATTCATTTTGCATTCCCTACAAACTGACACTTAGCTTAAATACATAAGGAAAGTTTATTGAATGTATCTGAACTTGAGCTTATATGTCAGGATGTGCCTACACCACAAAACTGTAGAATTTGTCATTCTGGTGGTGTTAATATATACCCTACAGTTCCTTAGTAAAAGAATTACATATAACTTTAAAAGACAAAGAGGCAGCAGTATCCTAATGTTAAGGAAAACACGTCATTAATGTCAATAGGCCACTATCTGTTTCACTTAAAATATCAACCAAACTATACAGGTGAAATTCATAAAATCCAAAAATGGGTAATGAAAGTTTGATGCTTTGTATATGCAAAAAATCATTCCTCTTATCCCATTCTGGCCTTGTCCATTTGCTCATTTGGATAAAATTTCCTAATTGTTACTAAGATACACAGTAAATGCCACACGCTTATTAAATGTATTGCTGACAGTACCTGGACACTAAAATATTGTTTTCAAAAGCCACCTAGGCAGCTATGCTTAAAATCCAACATAATCAGGAAATATCAATAAATATTTATCCTTGTAAAGTCCTATAAATTACTTAGTTGTGCCATAACATGAAAAGCCTGCCACTAATGTCTTTGGGATGACGAAATAAAGTAGTGAAAGTCTCAATGCTTGTCTAACATTGTTCATGGAGAGACACCATAGCAATGGAAAAAGCACTCTGATCCTACAGGGTTTCATCTCTAGTAGTTACCATAGTCTTGGACAAGCTAGCTTAATATCTGTCAGTCTTTGTGGACTTAAAATGCCTTCATTACTGAATAAAATAAGGTTTAGAAAATTATAACTTAAAGCCAGACCTTAGAACTGCGGTGATGCCATTAAAGTGCAGACTAGTAGTGAGGCCTGCCTGAGGCAACCAGCAGCCTCATCAAATCTGCTCAACTTAGTGAAGCACCCAAATAGTGCTAGGTGGTGGCGTACTATGAAAAGAGAAAAAAGAGAAGTGCAAAAAGCCTGAAGATAAATGACAGTCGCTATAATGAAGATGCTCCCAGTGTTGAAGATGTTTGTCACATCTTATAAATGTCCCAACAGAGGGGCATATGCATTTGCTTTGAAAGATCAGGATAAGTTTCTCTGGGTAGATGAGGCCAGATCTAATTCCTGAAAGGCTCGCAAGAAAAAAAAAAAAAGCATGTTTGTACACTCTATCAATTATAGAGCAAAATTTTATCAGGGTACAGAACAGAAAAATAAGTGTAGCCCGGCCGGGCGTGGCTCAGCGGTTGAGCATGGACCTAGGATCCAGTAGATGGGGATTCGATTCCTGGTCAGGGCACAGGCCCGGGTTGCAGACTCGATCCCCAGCAGGGGGCGTGGGGGAGGCAGCCGATCAATGACTCTCTCATCATTGATGTTTCTCTCTCTCTGCCTCTCCTTTCCTCTCTCTGAAATCAATAAAGATATATTTTAAAAAATAAAAAAATAAAAATAAGTGTAATTATAATGCAGAAAATGCAAATCAAAACCACAGTGAGATATTGTTTTATATTCCACATATTGGCAAACATTAAGTCTTACAACACAATGTATAGAGCAACAGAATGTGAATCAATGGAAACTCGAGAAGAAAGTATGGAAAGAGTGAAGGTGGCGGCCCTGTGAGAAGCAGCAGCGCCCCCGCTCCCAGCCACGGACTCGATTTCCTCCTAAAATCCTACGGAGCCAGCTTGGAAAAACCAGAGAAACACACCTGAGTGGACGCAGTGCGAGTGGGGAGCACTGAAGACACATCATGGAGTCCGGTAAGAGAGGGGGGCGTAGGAACGGGGAGTCCCCCTGAAGCCTGTGCTGGGCTCCGAGCCCCCGAGGCCTGGAGGCTGCAAAGCTCCCTCCCCTCGGGAGTGCGGACGGCCTCCAAAGGCGGGGACCCCACACCCGGAGCGACGAGAGGGGGAGGAGCTCCCCGCGCACAGGGCAGAGGGACCCCAGGGAGCAGTGAGTCCCGGAGCGGACGGCGCCTTCCTAGGGAACAAGGCCTCTAATGGCGGACGGCGCCTTCCCAGGAAACAAGGCCTCTAATGGCGGACGGCGCCTTCCTAGGGAACAAGGCCTCTAATGGCGGACGGCGCCTTCCCAGGAAACAAGGCCTCTAATGGCGGACGGCGCCTTCCCAGGAAACAAGGCCTCTAATGGTGGACGGCGCCTTCCTAGGAAACAAGGCCTCTAGTGGCGGAACCGGCCAGTGTCTAATGCTCGATGTGCGATGTGCTGACCATACAAAAGGCTGTCCCAAGGCCTGTGGCACCCGAGTAGGAAGGGACCAGAGGCCTGCACTGAGCAGCTGCACACGGGGACCCTCTGCCTCCCTGGGGGACACTGTGCTGAGGCCCAGAAAGCACTGAGTCTGCTTGGCGAGGGGAAGGGGAGGAGCCCTCCCGCCCTGAGCTCCCGGTGCCGAGAGGCTGGGATCGGTGACCAGCCCTGAGGGGCGCCGTGGTGGCCTGTGGAGCCGCCCCAGCTGTGCTGAGACCAGCGGTGCGGGAGCTGCGTGGAGCTGACTTTGAGTCCCCTCCCGCTGGGGGCTNCTGACTTTGAGTCCCCTCCCGCTGGGGGCTTTGGTGTGCGGGAAGCGGGACCTTGCAGGGCCCACTCTCTGCCTGTGTGTTGCTTTGTGCGTTTGTGAGTTGGATCACAGAACTGGTTCCCACCTTCCCAGCGTGCACTGCGCAGACAGACCAGCGGAGGCTGGGATTGGGGTCTGCACAGTAGACGGTCTGAGGGGCGGGCCTGGTGCGACCAGCCAACCACAGCTGAGCAGGGAGGGGCGGAGCCTGCCGGGCTCTCCTGCAGCCGGGAGCACCGCCCCCAACAGGAAAGGGGCGGGTCCTGCTCACTGAGGCCCCAGACACCCCCGCAGGGCACAGTCCTGAAGAGGAAGGGAGAGCGCCTCACAGGAGGACATCACAAGAATAAGACTCTCAGAAACTGTTGTTTGGGACCTGGAGGGAATGCTGAAAACCCCTGCTGGGGGCTGGGCAGGCAAAGAGCTCAGTGGAATGTGCTTTAATTGAACCCACTGAGCCCAGGCTGCTGAAACGGCCCATACAGAAAAGGCAACAGGCTGAAATCAATCTGAAACTGCAGCAGGCCAGTGGATGGGGAACTAGAATCAGAGGACAGGGTAGGGACTGAGGAGCTGGCGATGGACCAGAGACTAACTCCCACAGAGTGAGTGCCTGACAGCAAAACCTCTAAGTAAGGGGGGTGATACCCTGAGCTACACTAGCCGTTCTGCACCCTAAAGACTCTACAGAAGACTCTGGAGCAAGACCAGGCAACTACAAGTTTGCAAAATAGCTGACAAGAGGAGGTGGCCCACGGAGAACCTCAGATCAACCGTCTACCTAAGAGCACCAGAGCCAAACCTAGACGGCTCCTCACATTGGCGGATACACAAGTACCTCCCAGGAGAACGGAAATCACCACACAAAACAGTGACCCTAAGACAACGTAAGAGGCCCAGAAAAAACCCACCTGATTGATTGTCCTTTTTTTCCCCCCTTCCTCTTTTTCCCCCTTAGGAAAAAGAGAAAGAGGGGGAAAAAATCATTTGTTTTTTCTTCTTTTTAAATTTTATAATAATTAAAATTTTATTTTTAAAATTTTTAATTATTTTCATTTTGTTTTTTTTAAGAATTTTGTCTTGCTTAGCTTGTTTTTGTTCTGTTTCTTTTGTTTTATTTCTTTGTTTTGTTTTATTCTCACTTCTAATACCAAGACTTTCTTCATATTCATGCTTAATGGCTGGGACTTTATCATTATAACCAACAAGTTTACTCCTTTTCTCTATAGTTTCCCCCCAAATCTCTTATTGGGCACCTTCCCTGCCCAGGCTTTATCTCTCTCTCTCCTCTCGATCCATTTGCATAACTTTTTTTTTTCTTCTTCTTCTTCTTTTCCTTCTTGCTTTTGTTTTCCTCCCTTCTGTCTTCCTGTCTTTTTGTTAGATTGTTAGTTTCTCTCATTCTCTTTAATGTATTTTTAATTTTTCATTTTCAACTATTATCCTATTCCTATTCTCTCCCTTAATTGTTTGCTG